GTGCATCATCAGACAGCCATTCTTCGAACCTAGGGACTTCTCAAATTCTTCTCCCTAAATCACTTGAAGCATAATGGTCTCAACCGAGTCTTATTTCTTCTCATTACAGCTTCACAATAATATGTTGTCATGGCATATCGAAAATTTCGGACTTTAAGCATCTCGAACTTCCTTGACTTCCTTTATCTGGGATTCAAATAGAGGTTTTGTTTCAAAAGAACATTGATTAATTAAAATCCAGTATTTAAGTCATGTGGCATAAAGACGTTTTGTTCTTGTGTAGAATATGTTCTACACGAATATTTTTATACTCTTGCAACATGTTGCTACAGAGTAAAAAAGTTTTGTTCACCTAAAACTAATCGAGATAGCTATAGGGTTATATATTATATATATTGTATAAATGTATAAAATAAATAAAGAGGCAAGAAAATGCTCGTTTTACGAATGTATTATATAAAAGCTTCTTAAATTTAAGGTAGCAGAGTTCCCACTGGGGGACTTGAGTTTCGTGCTCACCGACACATTTCCTCTTAAGCTGACCACTGATCTAACGCTGCTTTGAATGAGTGTACCAGAGTTTACTCTGCTCTTCGTATATATTCCAGAATCGGTTGGATTGATGCAACCCATTTGCAAGTAGTATTCGTTCAATACGTTCTCCTCCGTACTTTTGTAAACGAAGAAGACTCTGCCATGAACTTAGTAGAGCTTCACAATGCTACAGAATCATTGTGAATCAATCAAAATGCGAAATAGTATAGCCTTTCATACAATAGGAGACGCCTTAGTAAACAGATTGTAAAAAATATTTTTCGGGTCAACCCCTTCCCTTGTTTGAAATTGCAAAAAAGTCGTCAGCGTTTAAATTCTATTTTAGCAAATATTTTTCTGATACAAAAAAAAGCATGCTTCCGTGAACAATAAGACGCACCCTAATGTACACACATGCTCCTACATATGTTTCGCTCTCTCAGCAAAACGTGTAATCTTGCGTATTGCAAACAATTTTAATTGACTTTTCCATTTACATTTTAAATATTTAATGTAAGAAGACGTTCCATATTGTTTTTGTTTCCCGCAGTTACTTGCGATCCTGACGAAATAGAAGTTTTAATGTATTTGTATAACTTTGAGTTGAAACGTGAAAATTAATGTTTGCACGGACAGGTAAGTATAATTGTTGTTGATAAGGTAATAGTGAAATAGTTTATGTACGCTATTATTATCATTGTCCTTGCCGGAAAACAGATACAACAAGTAAAAAATTTTCATTCACTAACGCATGGAAAGACCCTGAATTAAAAACGCGCTGCTTACAATAAAAAAAGATTTTTAGGGCATTAATATACCAAGCCTGCTAATTGTGCACTTTATTTTCATTTTAAACCGAATTGATTCTTTGTTGCCAAATTCAGCCTTGCAACCAAACCATCCTAGAAGTGTATGATGAAAGGACATTATTTTTAGATAAAAATTACATATCCATTTCATAATTTTACAGTATAAAGAAATATTAAAACATATTTGAATTTTGGTTATAACTTAGTTATATCTGATAGCAGAGGCTTAAAATTTAGTATATATTGTATATGTAATATGATGTAGGGAACATTAATAAACAAAATAGTAAATTTCGAATTTTACTTACATTTAAATTGCCATAACTAAGCCACAAATTAAAAAAGTATGCGTGGCTCCGCGCCCTAATAGGTTTAATATATGTATATATCTCCCAAATTAGTTTTGCTTTATCACCCAAAATTGCAGTACAAATTATTTAGACACCTACAGCACGAAATATACGTGACAGCGTGAAAATAGAAGAAATCGGATGATAACCACCCCCGATTTTGTTAAAAACTATTAAGAGTGCGATAAGTCAATAACTAAATGCGTCAGACATTAAATTTTACACCCCTGATGGTACAAAAGGGATTTATAGAAGCAAAAATCGGACTGCAACCACGCCTACTTCTCATATAATACAACTTTAAATTACATCTGACCACTTTCGATTATGCAAATGAAGCAAATCTATGTGCCTAAAATGTATTAAAACTTGTCCTAGCCCCCATTAAATTAATATCAGGCTTTTTTGCCTTTACCTTATATGGTACTTTAGTGATGATGTACATCACATACCTTAATGAAACTCAGAGAGCATCTGTTTCTGCTAATAATATGTAGTAATATAAATAAATCAAATCGGGTCAATAATACAATCAATACTATCTGCCATATATCTAATAAAAGATTTTCAAACTTCCGGTTGACCTTATACCGTATATATCGAACAATATGTAAGATATCTTCGCACAATAAACTGAACGTATTATATTGGATATACTTAGGTTAATGCCAAATATATGTGATATTATATTCTACTCCACATAATAATTTCGCTATTCTAACAAACTTTATTACATATGTTAGTGGTTTAGCACTGAATATGAGTGGAGTTGATCTAGACCTTAGCCTTAATCTCATATGCGTAATATCATCAATATCCATCTTTTGGTTGACGTTTTGCACATAAAATATTAAAGTCAGCCTCTTCGGTTAAGTTTATGTTATGGCTTATATTATTTTTGCTGTCGGGAAGTAATATATAGTTCTAAAACTAATGTCTATGACCTATAATAAATGCCAAATATTATTGTAATTCATTCACGCTTTTATCGAATAATGAATGTTGAATTATTTCGCAACACTTTTTAATATGAAGTTTTGCCAACACCTGAAGGTATTTCTCTGACTTTGGTCTTTGTAAGTTGCAAGAATATGCCATTCCCTACTTAGTTATATTTAAAATATTAAGAAGGAAACTTTATTTCGATTATGATTGGAAAAACCCTAATTTTCAAATTTCTTAGAAATCTATACTTTTGTTGGTATAAAAAATATATACGTAAGTAGGTAGGTAGAGTGGTTGTCTAATGACGCACCTCGGCCTTTAGGAGGCGCATTGTGGTACCACCGGGACTAATATCCCCTCACTCTATTGTCTCCCTTCAGAACCACCCGGTGCTTTTGATGAAGCAGAACAAGCAAAAGTTTTGTTTGTGCAACCTCTGAACCGTCGTCAAGAAACCCTCGTCCGATGCGATTGCGATTCTTTTCATGTCAAGAGCCTTGCATTCGAATAGAATATACACGTTATATACGTTATGTACTTGGTTTTTTTTTATATTCTTCGTGGTGACTACAGAAGGCATAAACTGAAAATTTCTAATATGCTATGATCGGTCGTTATTATGTAATGCGTTTTATACCATGGTGGTTGTTAGAAGGTATATTCGAAAGAAGATTAGGACATATTAAAACAGCTTTTTACGTAGTATGTAAAAATATGAAACAAATATTAAATTGAGTAATATATTTTATGAGATCATTGTCCATTTGTACAATATGTTAAAAGATAATTAGTTATTCGCTAATAATATTGTTAGCAAATGCGAAATTTTAGAAGGAGTAGGCTGTTATAAGGTCCAATAAAAAGAACTCTTTAATTTTCCCAGTATATGACTTTAGTAATCAGTATATCAAGCTATATGACATTAGAAAAATAACATATAGACATACTACAACAAACTTCTCAGACAATTTTGCTTGACTCAATTGAGCCTATTTTGCTCAATTTCAATTTTGTCGGTTTCGTTCCGATAATTTTGATGTCAAATATGTTCCACGCTCTGGAATGACACATATCGAAATTATCGATACAACAATGGAAATCGTCTTGTTCGGCAGTCACATGAGCAATATTTGAAATGTCAAGAAACTAAACATTTCACAAAAAATCCTTTCAAACAATTTAAAAAGAGCCTCGAAGCTATGGGTGCGAGTTATAACAAAAAATTTTATAGACCGCATTTCCATCTGCGAATCGGTACTGAATCAATTCATTTCTGAAGCTGATATTTACTGATGACGAAAAGTGGGTCACTTATGATAACGTCATGCGAAAACAACGAGCCGCTCCCCTTTAACAAAACTCTTAATTCAGATAGTTACAGCCAACCAACTACTGAACTGTCTGAAGGAAGCAACCGCCCATAAATAATTCGATACGTTTGAAGAAAATGATAATAAAAGAGACCAAACTATCGAGTACAAAAATAAGAAATAAAGGAATTTTTATTATTTACTCATTTATTTCTATTCATAACCTTTTTTAGTTTATATTGTATATGTTTTAAATTTTTAATTATAATATTTTAGTCTCATAAAACAGGAACGATATAATAAAGTTTACACCCCCTTTGTATGAATTTAAGCAGATGATGCAAAATGAATTGAATATGTAACTGTAATTTTTAAGGCCAGCGGAGAACTGCAGAATAACAGAGAAACCTTTGAAAACAATTATTTTTTCCTTCTGTCAAGCTTAAAGTGTCGTTTAATCAATATGTACCGATAACATTCGTTCTTACAAAGATTTGTAGCAACCTTTTGAATGTAATAAAAAGAGCACTCGATTCCAATGTTAAAGTCAATGTCATTCTTGATAGAAACACAAAGGCAACAAACAATTCCCGTATGCGCCCAATAAACAACCAATAATGTTAGAAAAAATTCTTACAATTTTCCTACACATAACTAGAACAGGGTCAATGCAATCCAAAAATCGTTTCTAATATGGAAATCACACACAGGAATACATATGATGGTATTTCGCAGCTTCACGTCTGCGTCTAACAAGTAGCTGGTCACATAGGAGCATTGTAAAAAATTTAAGAACAACAAAAAAGCAAATTCGTTTAAATGCCTACAAATTGTCTGTTCAATTGTTGAACGGCAACATAACTTATTCCCAAACAATGAGCAGTCTGCAAATAATAACGGCAGACTGCTACATTTTATGAATGAAATTCCAATTGGAGGCGCAACGCATGCGCCGCCGATGAAGCGAAACGACAGCAGCAGTACAGCATCTCGGCGAAGGATGTTCGACGCATATAAAGCAGAGATCTGAAACGACGAAATTCAGTTACGGCGGAGAACTCGACCAGTGTGGCACACTGGAAGGAAACCGAACGGAAACGGTGGTGCTAACAACAGCTATAAAGAATAATAAGTGTTACAAAAAATTGTTACAGCTAAAAAGTCAGATATTTTATTAATAAACATTATTTTTTTGAATTGTTTATTTTTAACGTGAAATAATAAAAATGTTCGTTCGAGCTGTGAATAATAACGGTTTATTTCGGTTATAGAAATTTTTTTTACATATATTGTCAATCCCTGCACCACCAATACGAAATCCGCCATAAAATATCAATTAAACACATTTGTGACTATGTATGTGCGTGTTTTTACTGTTATCGTTTGTAGCATACATTTTACTTGAATTGAAAATACATTAAAACGCCGTCTTCGCCGCAATCAGTTTCAACATCGATGAATATACAACGACAATAAAAGCAGAAACGCTTGAACGACAACCATATAACAACACAAAGAGCGCCTTTAAGGCAACAACATTCTTTAGGTGCAACGGATACATTAAGCGAAACGTACGTGATTAGGTGATAGTTTAAATTTTACTCCAGCTAGCATTTATGATTGCACCTGTACATATACATACAAGTATATACGAGTATATTGTGTGTGATGTGTGTGAAAAAAATTTGTCTTTGGAAAATCATAGCTGTGATATATGTTTTCATATTATAAATTAATAAACAGAGATTGTGCTGTAGCATTATATAATAATAAAACATACGCATTTATATGTTTTTCCATATTTCCACATGTGCTATACCGAAGAATGTAGTATGTTGCGCCATGGCGTATGAGTAACTCAACAAAATATGCACAAATAAATCAACTCACTCAAAATAATGCAAAGTTGTTGTGGTCACGTGATGAATGTGCTGTTTAAAAAATGCTTTAAACTATGTAAATTTTAAAGTTAACTTAAAAATAATGCTGGAAACAACTCCAAAGATTTTAAAATATTCATTTACTGCGTGCGGGCCATGAAGAATCACATTTACTGTTAAATCAATTATAAGTGGTATTTACCTGAAAGGAAAGACATTTTCTATATAATTAATGACCACGCCATTTAAACCATAGAATAATTTGGTTAATAAAAAAAAAATTATATCATAAATATCTAAATGAAAACTATGTGGACTAAGCGAAATCACATTACTGAGGTTTTGAGGAGATATTGTAAACAGATTTAATACATTTTTATACAGCAAATGAGGTACATAGATGTTCTAATAAAATTGTTAAAGATACCGATATATACAAACCCATATATATGATATTAAGTATACGAACGTATAAGAAACAAAATCATTAAATATCGAAAAACTAAAATTTTTATAACATTTTTGATGCATAAAATCGGTACGCACAAATATTGAGCAAAACTTTACGGATGATTTGTAACGTCAAAGAAACGGCAGCAATCTTTTCTCAAGTCACTTTTTTATATAAATATTCGTTATAATTGTGGTCGACGTTATAAAAATTCGGCTTTTACGGCCCCAAGAGCAAATTGCTTGCCAAATCATAGTTTTTTGACCTTATACAATATATAAATTTTTTATACTCTTGCAAGATGTTGCTACAGAGAATACTAGTTTTGTTCACCTAACGGTTGTTTTTATCACTTAAAAATAATGGAGTTAGTTATAGGGTTATATATTTATAAATGATCAGGATGAAGAGACGAGTTTAATTCCGAGTGACTGTTTGTCTGTCAGCCCGTCCGTCCTTCTGTCTAAAAGATAACTTAAGTAAAAGTTATGATGTCTTAATAAAATTTCGTAGATAGGCGTAATCGAATCACTACCATGCTCACAAAACGCCATTAAGCAGGGTCAAAATTGGACGGTGGACGTGGCATCGTCCACATTTAGGTAAAATCACATATCTCCGGACCTGCGTATGTCGGCTTTTTGCTAAAAATATCGGTCAATCTGTGAGATATGTTGGTGAAATTCGGAGAAAACGTTTTTTTGACAATAATATACCGATGTTTCAAAAATGGGTTGAATCGGGTAATTTTCCTTAGCTCCATATACCTTTTAATATCGGCCAATATGGGAGTTATTTTAATTAAATTAAGAGTGAAAACTTGCCTTAGCCGTAGTTTTGGTCTTGGTGTAAACCATTTTCCGATTCAACCCATCTTTTGACACAAACATACCGTTATCGAGAGTTTCATTTATTTATTTTATTATATGAATTTCAATTATATGTCGAACATATTGGCCGATATTTTCGGTAAGTAGTCAACTACAGGCACTGGGGTCCACATATTCAGTACCTAAGGGCTTGAACAGATTTGATTAAAAGAATCAGATGGAATTTAAAATCGTGTTATATGGGAAATAGACGTGGTCGTAATCCGATTTTCGCACTATAACATACAACTATAAGAAGAATATTATGCACCGAATTTATTTGAAATCGGTTAAGCAAATCCCAAGATATGGGCTTTCACCTAAATGTGGGCACTTTCACAGTCTAATTTTGAACGCGATTACTTTAAAGTCATCTCATACCATCCCAGAGATAAAATTTAATGTCTCTGGCGTGTTAAGTGCTTGACAATCGCGCTTTTAGAATTTTTGAACAGTTATATGGGGAGTGTATAATAATAAAAAATATTAGGGATATTATAATGATTTTCGATTCTTTTGTGACGTTTTTCACTTCAACTCATTACTTCAACTTAGCCTCCTCGGTTGAGTTTATATCACATATATCTCAATTGAGGATGATTTAAGTATAATTTTCACTGACGGGAAGTAAAATATAGTTATAAAACTAACTGAGACTATGACCTTCAAAATAAGTTCATATGATACAAATTTTACTTTGTAAAGTTATTCCTTAAACTGTTTTTTTTATTTTTACTTCACTTTGATGTGAAATTATACAACATAAGACCAACCAGAGGGTAAAGAAAATGTAAAATCGGCTTGTGCATAAAAAATTGGACATTTTATGATTTTATAACATTATTTTGTGAAAAAATATAAGAAAATTGTTTAAACTTAGGTTGGGCTTTGGCACAGCAAAAAATCATAGTTTTTTCTAGATGATTATATTCCGTACTGGAATAAGTTTTCATTTTTACTATACAATAATTTGTACAAACGCACCAAAAATCCGAACTAAATAATATAATACTATATTTTATATGGAAAATCACAAAGCGCCATCTCTTGAATATTAATATTAAGAGCTTGAACTTTAGAAAAATTTTATTTTTTGTCATTTCGGGCGAGATTTTCACGGTATCTATGAAAAAAAAAAATTTGGTCCACCTACATATATTTTGTACAAAATCTAGATGCCGTTCTTTCTAGGAACAATTAATGCGTTTGAACAAAAACTGTATTCTTATATAGTAAATATCCATACAACAGAAGTCCATATTTTCACCTATTCTGCATGTATACCGACATTTTTGGAATTTAAAACTGGCCATTGACGGTATATGAATAAATATGTTAGGTCTAACAACAAGAAACAAATTATTATCGTTAAATAGAAGATTTCATTAAGGATAGTTAGATCTACATAAGTGAAATATGCACAGTTTGTTGAATAAGTTGTTGCCATTTAAAAGGCCATGACATAATACCACTGCAGAAAAACTCGTCCGTATTGGCAAACCACTGAGATAGTCGATTTTCACATTGCGTCAAGCAATCACAATACTGAATGAAAAGCTTATTTTAGTACGAAATCTTATCTTTCTAACACCTAAAGTATAACCCGATCGCAAATATACGACGCGTAACACATATTACTAAAGCGATATATTATATTATCTATAATAATGGATTTCTTTTTACTAGACATAATTCTTATGGTCACATTTCGGAATGGTTTCTTGTTCCTTAAAATTTATTATTCGCAGTTATATAATATTTTTCGAATACTACAAAGAGATAACATAGATTACCGCTATAAAAACATGCATTTAAAAAATCTATGCCACAAGGCGAACCCTAGATATATTTCTGATAAAAATCATTGTGGTAAATTAAAAAATCCCATGTCAAATTCTGGCAAGTGGTCAAAATCGTATTTTTATTTTTTAACAAAATGTATTAATTTTCATGTGGATTTCTTTTCTTTAATTTTTTTCTTTCATAGCAATTGAAAAATAATTTATTCATTGTAGCTGCTTGCGGAGTTCGTGTGGGATGTCATAACTCTGGTGAAATTCAAATAAAAAATGTTGAGACCAGCATAATTGAAGGATACTGATTTATATTCATACCATGGGCTTCATTGGTGTGAAAAGAAAATTTGCTCAAACTATTTTCTCAATTCATTTTCAATCTCTCAGTTGATCCATATTTAAATCACTTTTTAATTTGGATCTTACAACAATTATTGCCACATAAGTTAACTCGAGTTTGACAAACTTTTCTACAGAAGCTCTAACCAAACAACTTTTTAATGTATATATGTATATATATATAATATATATTATTATAAAAGAATATTTGCTTAGTAACACCAAAAAATATTTGTATATGAATTTCTAAATTTAATTATTCTGAACTTTTAGTGGGTTTTTGAAAAAATTAAAATAAAATCAGAGGTGCATGAAATATGGTTTCTGAAACTGCGCCGTGGCATTTAAGTGATACAATACAATTTTACAAATTCTATGGAGTTAATAAAAAAAGGCAATCAAACTCAATGTCAGAAATGGCCATACGCGATAACCCCTACCTTCTATAAAATTAGTCTAGAAAACTCTTTAAAATTTAATAACTAAACTATAGTAAAATCAGGTCAATAAACTATATAAGTGTCTTCAATTTAAAAAAGTAGTAATTTTAATATGGCAGCACCCTCTGTTGGTAGGAGATGTCATATCTTACAAACGTCTGAACCGCAATTAAATAATAACATATGCTTTCGTTGATTATCCCCAAAATGGACACTATTAGTTCATATTGCAGATCAGCTTCCTTGCTTCATCTTTTAAATTGGGTTTCTGGAAAAAACAAGTGAGGTATCGTAATATAGCTAAGAAAAGAGTTGGTGGTTGTTGTAGCAGTAGAATATATTCCTCATTTCCGGTAATTTAGCAGTCCTTGGTCAAATAAAATTCTGGGAAAAGGGTTGGTGGTTGTTGTAGCAGTAGAATATATTCCTCATTTCCGGTAATTTAGCAGTCCTTGGTCAAATAAAATTCTGGGTCCGTTCAGGTTAAGTAGACCTGACTGCCGTTACAACCAACACTTTGTAGACTTTTACTAAAATTAAACGAAATAAGTTAACATACTATTTACTTAGTTGCTATAAACTCAATGTAATGGTTTTCAAATATACTGTTAGCTATACTCTTTCTTCAGTCCTAACAGTAACTTTGGTTCGAAATTGAAGGTTTTTATGATATATTTTTTCCCATTTCACGTCTTATATTTCTGTATCTAATTACTTGTCCTTCTTTTTCATTTGTGTATGAATTTTTCACCCAGTCGGTACAATTTGAAGCAACATATATTTATTTTTCCTACTT